TCAAATATTGCCAATTCGAGAGAGAGAATTAGGACCTAGATGACGTATGATGACGTGTAACGGTATAGTAGTGGTGTCCCAATTCTTAGGGGAATATCTTAGGGTAGGTGAAGGGGTATAAAATAGAATTGGGATTGGGCCTTACTGTTACCAGCCCGAAGTTGATCATTTTCCTATAACAGCATGATCTGAAGTGTTTTATTCCTTTCATACCACAGCAATTTGCCAACACTGACAATTTTTTTCATTTGGTTTTTGATAGAGATATCTAGCATAGATTTTTATATGATAGCTAAAGTCAGCCATTTTGTGTTAAAAACACATGGTCCTACAACAGGCACCAAAGTGCCAGACACTGTAACTTTATGTGTATCTGACAAACTTCAAAACTCAAACACCAGCATTAACATTATTTGGTGATTTTTTTAAGTACCTTTCCTGTGTTTATACCAGTTGACACACAAACTTGAACTGACCTGTAAAGTTTTTGCTCAATTTGGTTACTCTTGCCAATAGCTATCATGGAAATCGAAGCATAACTTGTGCTCCCATACAACCAGCAGTTTAAATATATCCCACCTCATAATTTTGAGTTCTTCTATTGTTTCACTTTTAGCAAAAATATCAGATTGACTCAAACAGAATAGGGGTGTGGAACCATGGGAAAAACATAGGTGTTGTTTCACATGACAAAGTCATCCAGGGAGCCTGTGAGGGTGTATTTTTCTTCTTGGTTTGTATTTATAACCAGGAGCAGTTTACCAGAAAGGCCTGACTACAAGGTAGCAATCACTGGATGGAATAATCTGGCACTACCCAGACACACACATTTTGAAATGCCAAGTACAATATGCCAAATCTGTGGAGTCCACAAGCCACAAGGCTCCTCCCATGAAGGTGGGTTTTGCACAGAAACCAGTGTCAATTTTGTGCATTTTTAAAGTGTCAATAAATTTGATTATTGGGGAAGACTCATTGGACAGAGAAGCTGTCTTTAATACAGAAATAAATGAGAGTCTTACATCAATACCAACAAGTACTACAGTACTGATAAACACTACTTTATCCCAACTCCATTACCCCTTCTTTATGTTATGATCCCTAATCAGACAACAGTTTCGCTGTGGCTCCTGGAACTTGTAAACTTGACCTTGAAATCAAGTAATAATTTTTGGTGGTTGGACCCAAGTTACCAATAAAATGACATCTGACCTGATGTTGGCACCTGAAACAGTTTGATGCTTGGACCCCGAAAACATCTTTGTAGAGCTCTTTCACACCATATTATTAAATCCTACCAACACTATAAGGCTCTAAAACCTTTAGTGCTTGGATCTCAATAATAATTAAATTAAAACATAGGGCTCCTGAATTTCAATGAATAAAAAAGCAAGCAAAGAACCAAAGAGAGCAATGTAAGTGCTTGGACCCCTAAGAAGTATATATTCAAGTACTATAGGTACGAGGTTAAGCAGTTAACTTGTAGCGTTGGTCATCACTTTACAGGTAGATTGGTCACTACTTAAATGTACTGTACGAATTACATTACTTTATGCTCCTCCCTCGCTTTGCTAAAACAAGAAACGAAGGAAACAGACAAACTGTGTTTAGACGCATGCAAATGAAAACACAGAGCTTTGCTGATAGGCTAATAAACTCTAACTATAGCCATAGCAAAAGACCTCATGTTGCAGGCATCAGTTGAAGGCAAGACATAACAGTCGGCCAGCCACAAGCCACAATGGAATGGCCTGGACTTTCAGATTGACAAGGAATTTCAAGCAAAATAAAGGAGACAACATATGTGTGTGGTTACTGTGGGAGCTAGCTAAAACTGCTAAGGCAGTGATGTCACCATTCTTGGGCTGGACATTTGAGACATTTGACATTTGAGTCTTTTCCTTCTTTACTGATTCGAAGGAAACAAATAAACCATGAAAATAGGCTAAAAGATGAGCATTTTCATGCCATAAACGATATGGTGGTATGGTAACTATATAACTTAATATCACTGTTTCAGCAGATCACAGTATTTGCTAACATTTCCATATTAACTTCATCTTTCCAAAGAGAATAAATTATGCATAACACAGCAGCAAACATATTAAAGTCATTCCAAATGTCATTGTACTCAAATGTCATTTTTGATTAAATCTTTTCATGGTAATTTATTTGAGTGCACAGGTGGTGCAAAAATTGTCACTGCAATTGTTTTGCTATGTTCTGTCTAGAGAAAGATGAACGTCTCACTAGAAGATCTCAGTTTGTACTAAGCAAGTGTTGAGTCATCATATAAGCCTCAATATGCCATACACAATATGCAAATGCAGCCCATTCAATAATGTAGGCGTTCTGTTTTATCTTCTGTCGAATGGCAATGTTTGTGGAAATGGCATGTCAAGCTAATTTAATTATTCAATATATAAAATGTTATGGTCTGTTAATGCTATGGTCTAACACATGCACCTCTAAGACCCATAAAATCCAGCCAATCACATCCTTTCGTCACAGGGAAGTGCAAAACCCTTGAAGGAAATCTGCCCTCTTCAACATACATGAACTCACAGACACCTGCAATTGGCTAGTGTCACTGTGATTGACAGGGGAGAGAGAATATACCATCCCTCTTATAGAGACAGCACGGCCAATTTTGGCTCCCAGCATCATCAGGATCCAACATGCGATCTCCTGACGATAGGGCGAAGGGTTTTCTTCTGTGCCACTCGAGAGCATAACTAATATTTTGCCCCTGTTTTGGGGGAGAGGTTAGAGTAACACTTATACAAGAGTAATATGCCTTATATAAATCTACAGTCTGGGCTAGAAAGAAATTAGCCCCAGCCTTGCTTCTTTATACCAATCTGTGTATTTTTCTTTGTGGTGCTGTTGCGCTTGGTTCCACAAAAGTCCAAAATCGAACCTTAAGCCCTTTGTAAACAGCAAATCATCTGATATAAATGCCAAAAATGAAACCATATACTGATGTCTTTTTTTTATTTTTGAAAAACAAGTGGAGCTTTGCCCTGCTAGCCCATTTATACCCCTGCTAGAACTTCCACAAGATGCTGGTGGGAAAGCAATGCTTCTAATATGGTTTCCTTTTACCTGTTTTCTGATTACTGCAATGCTTTACAATCTATAGAGCAGAAGGGCTGTAATGATGAAATGTTAATACAGTTCTCCAGCAAGGGTTAAGTGCATTTTCCACTCAAGCACTTTCACTTAAGTAAAAGGGCAGATGGAAAAGAGATTACTGCAAGCACACATTACGTGCCAATAAAAAAAACCTGTTCAATTTTAGTTTTCCAACGTTATGTGACGTAACAGCATGGAATGCGGTTTAAGAAAGGCTTAGGTTAGTCACACTTGCAGAACTGCTTTTGACACCCAACAAACTGTCTATCTGCTTTGTTTGGCGACACCTCCGTGAGTACAAACACAGCTGCAGCAGCACCATGTGACAAACAGCCAGTGACTAATCACCACAACTAGCAACCACATGCCACACTATTTGGCTTTTCAGCTCATTTGAACTTGGATCAGACTCAGAAATGGGCTTATGCACAACTGCATACCACATTAATTGAATAAAAGGAGAGGACGGGACTGACAAATCAAGACAAACCTGCAAAGTTCTTGCAATAAGCTATGAATGCCGAATCATAGCTTCTTATACAATCAGGCATGACAACCGTGTTCCTTTATGAAACAAGAAATACCGGGCGTGCTAGAAACCCAGCCCAGTTATGAAGAGTGGTGTAAGGAATGAGGACGACTTTGATGGCCACACCCCTGGGAATGTCACTTTCTTAGGTGGCAAGCTGTAAAAGATACACACCTATAAAAAGGCAGGTGAAACATAAACATTAACTTACCTCTTCATCTGTCCATGATGAAGGATTAACCATATGAAGGTGCATCCATCAGAGCAACACAAGGATATGAAGGCATGCGAGAGAGAGAGAAAGAGAGCAAAACATTAATTACAGTTAAAATTTTCACAAGTCTATTGCTTTCAGTTGTAGTTACTGTACCTACTTTTGATTGTATAATATAAATTTGTACTGTACTTATTACATAATACAAATATATCAAGAATCAGTTGATACTGTACAATTACATTGGACTGAATGGGGAAAAACAGTTCACACCTCAGTATCTATTTTGAACTCCAGTGCCTGTGTGTGTGTGTGTGTGTGTCTGTGTGTGTGTTTGTGTGAGCAGAAGAAAGAGGGGAAAAAGCAAAAGTGTAAAGCAATGAGAGTGTGACATCTTGCATTGACAGCAATCTAGAAGCAATGCATAACCTGTAGACTTTGGAGGCCATCCAAAATAAAAACTTCATTCAAAATGAAATGGTGCACAATGGTTTAAAAACCTGGAAACTTTAAGCCCTTCCGAATGTGAGACAAAAGAAGGACACTATAGACCAGGGGCTTGTCAACTGGCAGACCACTGAAAAAAAAAAGGCCGTAGTCCATTTATTTATTTTTTTTGACAGAAACCATCATGGCATATGGAGCAGAGCCTCTGTTGTGACTAATCACATGTGGCTAAGAAAGAGAAGAGTTTCATAGGGTTTTTAGGCTTTTTTTTATAAATTCATTTACCCTCTCTGGACTGATTATTTAATTGATGATATGGCTTGCCAAAAAAGGCAAAAAAAGACAAAACCAGAAAGTTTAAAGTGCCCCAAAAATATAAATTTGGTGTTCCATAGCTGCTTATACCTGTCTCTTAGTGTTTTAGACAACACCACAATACTACATCTGAGGAGGAAAAAACTGTTTCGGAGATATTCTCTTTTAATATAATTTGTAACTTCTTCTTGTGGTTCTTCTTCTTTCGGCTTCTCCCGATAGGGATCACTACAGCGGATGATTGCCAAATCAAATATGCGGAACAAAGTTTTTACATCGGATACCCTTCCTGACGCAACCCTCCCCAATTTTATCCAGGCTTGGGACTGGCACTGGGGGTGCACTGTCGTGTGCGGTTGGTTCCCTGGCTGGGAATCGAACCCAGGCCGCAGCGTTGCGAGCACAAGGCCTAACCACTAGTCCTCCAGGGACTACACCTTCTGGTAAAATTACCAAAAATGTTTGATGATTCATATCAATGAATATTTTTGTGATCATCCAATGAAATGATCTCTAGAACATAGATGTCCCACCCCTAGAGGCAGGGATTGCTCCAAAGTAGTAGTATGTTAGCAACAGTAGCAGCTTGTTAGCAGTAAACTTGGTTTGTCATTGGGTTTGTGGCTTTGCATCTTCCTTTACACTATTCCATGATTGAGAAAAAAATGGTTGGAGTTTATTTGTTTTGAAGAGGGGGCAATTTGTATGTGGTGGTAAGTTATCTGCCAGGCGCTTCTCGGAAGTGTTTTACCAGCTCGGCGCTCATCAATGTTGAAATATGTCACTTCTTCAGACTGATTGAGAACAACATTCTGTCTTTATACACCCTCAGGGCTTCTCCATCAGTAGGAGTAAGTCTCATTAAACTATTCGCTGTTCCCCATATTTAGCTAGCTCTCTAAGCTACTGTCAGGTTTGTTTAGATTTGGCGGTGTGGCGTATCGCGAACGCTACTGGCTGCTGTGTACGTCAAGTCAAGCACTTCAACACTCTGTCACTCTGACTCGCTGTTTCCGAAGTAAATATGTCAATAAACAGAATTAAATCACAGCTAAGAAGCCATTTCACTGGGGACTTTCAAGAAAATTGGACAGAGAAGTGTGCAGTTATTCTATGCTTCAAGTATATAACATGTCTCATCTGTCCATGACAAGGGTCAAATTTGTTAACATGATTCATCGCTATGAAACAACACAGTAACTTCAAATTGCCTTATGTGTAGCCATGAACTAATCATTAATGACTAAGCATTAAAAGGTAACTGTTGATGCCACGGTCGTGTTTCATGTTGCTTATCCAGACATTTGTAAGAAAAGAATTTTGTGTAGCTGGAGTTTCACAAATTTTACGTGAATACCCCTGCAATATTCTTGTTTAATCTTTAATTTTTCATAACACAGGCATAGTAGAAAATCCAATGAATCAGAACTTTGATTCACTTGAACAGGTAGTTCAAAAGAATCGGCTCATTAAAGTAGAGCTATTCAAATATGTCTTGAAAGCATTCGGTCATCCTGTATCATCACCAGACCACTTATGGACTGTTTCATAAATATTAATTCATTTCTCCACTCCGACAAATAAAAACACAAAGATCTGAGCATCAGGGCGGAGGAAACAACAGAGCAGGACATGGGATACCAAACTCCGACTGAGGAATGTGCACCACAATCCTTTCCAGCCTCTCCAACACTACTCCCTCACTCCCAACTGTTGTTTCAGCTGGACTTCAGAGAGACATGACATCTCAGACACTGTTCTGCTTTTTCTGTCCATAGTGGACACTTTCTTTTCTAATGTCCGTTCTGCTTTCTCTAAATTTCAGGTATCACTTTAATGATTTGATTCATTTGAACTACCTGTTTAAGTGAATTGAAGTTCTGATTCATTGGATTTGCTAGGCTACAATCTTGACCACCTCCATAGCCAAAATAAAGCCACATTAAAGGTTGTGCTGCTACTCTTTTGGCATAAAATGGTAAATATTGATGAAACCCACAGGTTCAACTGAGTTTAAACCTTTGTGTGAATCACAATCTTTAAACCTTTTAATGAAGTACATGTGGTTTTATTCAGTTTGAACAATGAACATGAGAATCATAACTAACCCAATCATAAACAGTTCATAAGCTTCATCTGCAAATGAAAATCATAAGAACCTGGACATATTTTTGCGCATCCATGTCAACTATGCGTGCTAAAGGAGACTGGTGGCGTTACACGATGGGGAAAACCAATGGCATGTTTATTTAAGAAATATATGCCAGATGATGTTATGAGTGAAAATAACAGAATGCAGAAATTGTAGTGGAAGCCCAAGAATGAAGGAATAGTTTTGCCTTAAATATAGCAAATGAAGGAAACATTGCTACAAGAGCCCAGAAGAAAGCTTTGCAACATCCATGAATGTCTATTACTGTGCCAATCTGGCCTATAAAAAATGTTGTAATTGGTCCTCCCTGACTTGATCCCTAAAAATGTGTCTTTTTATGGTTTTGTCTTGTATATGAAAATATTCATCTTTTCTAAGATGGTGAAATGACACATTAAAAAGTTGCATTCTCTCTTGAATCTATACACCCATTTAATGTTGGCAAAAACATCGTAAATGTTCTTGAGGTTACTACGCCCTGTTATTAAGTCCTATTATTTAATGATGAAAAACTTTCTGTTTGTATGAACATCTATGCTTGTAGCCAGAATCATTATGGAAGTCATGGCCAATTATCACACCACAGTCGCACCACATGATTAAAACTCTCACACTTACAGGATTCCTACCCTCACCCTTGACCTATCTTAAATCATCCATAAACATATCCACAGGTGGACTTCTCAGGAATTTGAGATATATAGGCATGATACAAACACTGGCCATTATAGTGGTCAAAAAGCAATTTGTCAGGGAAGCAAGTAGTATGATTTTATTTTCATCAGAGGTTTGCTGGTCATATTGAAAAGGAAACTTCTGTACAGGAAAATATCATTTATGGTTTCACCAGAGAGACTTCTGTTTTGTTTCAAAACCACTCATATTCTAGTATTATAAAGTTTTATACCAAGGCACTTTTTTTGTTCCTAGGGACATTTTTGGCAGGCTGGTGAAAAGCTCAGTAATATTTCAGAAGCTGTATGGAAATGAACAGTGAATGCCCAGTTTCTCAATGGCTTTAGTTCTGGAAATTTATCCATCATTCATTACCTCTGCAGACAAAATTTGCAAATAGGGAGTTTAAAATGTTGAACCAATCCAAACAGCTAGAAGTTGGCTCAGAACCATCTAGCTATTTTTTAGAAACAAAACTAAAAAAAAAGGAAAAAGGCAAAGGTACAATATATTGCCAAAGGCATTTGGACACCTGACCATCAACACCTATATGAGCTTGTTGGACATCCCATTCCAAAACCAAGGGCATTAATATGGACTTGCCTCCACCCCTAAACCCCCCACACCAACCTCATCAAACCTCATGTCTCTATGGATCTCGCATCGTGCAAAGGGACACAGTCATGATGGACCAGGACAGGACCTGCCCCAAACTGTTGCCACAAAGTTGGAAGCTTACAAATGGTTAAACTGTCTTTGCTGTAGCATTAACATTATCTTTCACTGAAACTTTGGGGCCCAAACCCTGAAAAAATCCCCAGACCATTATCCCTCCTCCACTAAACTTTACTGTTGGTACTATGCATTCTGGTAGATAGCATTCTCCTGGCATCCACAAACCCAGGTTCGTCCATCAGACTGCCAGATAGTGAAGCGTGATGTATCACTCCAGAGAGCACATTTCCACTACTTCAGAGTCCAGGGACAGAGTGCTTTACACCACTCCAGCCAACACTTCGCGTAGTGATCTCAGGCCTGTGTACAGCTGCTAGGCCATGAAAACCCACTTCATGAGGCTCCTGACACACAGTTCAAAACAGGCAGTTTTGAACTCTCTAGTGAGCGATGCAAAAGAGGATAGGCACTTAGGCACTCGGCAGCCCCAGTCTTTGAGTTTGTGTGGTCTGCAGCTTTATGGCTAAGCTGTTGTTGCTCCTAGACTCTTCCGTTTCACAATAATAGCACTTAGAGTTGACCAGAGCAGAAATTTCACAAACTGACTTGTGGCAAAGGTGGCATTCTGTGATAGTGCCATGTTTAAAGTCACTGAGCTGTTCAGTATGACCCATTCTACTGCCGATGTTATTTTTTGCTTTTTGTTAGTAGTTGCGTAAAGTATCCTCTTCATATTGAAGCTGGTGAAATAAAAGGTGAACATCTGGCAAACATTCATTAATTTGTCTTTATCCTGGTCAGGGTCACAATGGATCTGGAGTCTATCTCTGGAACACTGTGCATGAGACTGAAGTACACCCTGAATGGGATGCCAGTCCCTTGTACACCCTTGCCACCCATCCGTCAAACAGGTTGTAAGAAATGGTACAGGACTTTTATCTCTTCACTTGAAAGGTACTATTTCGACATTGCACCTACACTAAGAGGAAGTCCTGATTAGAGGTAGTATAAATGCTATTTTGAACCAGAGTGTGTTTGAAAAATGCCATCGCAGAGGCATATTTTGAATGTCACACACCCTGTTGTGACATTTCACCCATGTTGGAGCAGATGCCTTCATTTCTGGCCACAAAAATAGCAGCTGGATGAGAACTGGAAAAAAAATTGGCATGACCGACTGAGAAACACAGCATCGTACCACGGAGGTCTGCGAATATGAAAATAGCCAGATGTCCTTTATAAGGGAGTTAAGTATGGATCGGATAAAGCAATACAAATGAAATCAATTCAGTTTCCTTCTACTCTTGATAAACTTTGCCACCATTATTTTCTTCAACGTTACTGCTTGTATATTGGTAGTCCTGTGGTGGTCTCATTGATGGACAGGTTCAAGGGAAGCTGAAATCCAGCTAACTTTTGGCTTTTACAGAAGCGTAAGTATTGATCATCAAATTCGCTATTGTGATCACAAATGACATTACTTCAGAAACCTCAGTATTCATCCATATTAACCAATCATTTAAACGTGACAAATAAATGCCATTATTTATACAGGTTACAGGTTACAGGTTAAAAAAAACTATCCTGATTTATGAAAGATTTCTGAACATAGGAACATTGTTAACATATTACAGAGGATGAACTCACTGCAAGACCTTGCTTAGCAGTACAGACAGCATCCTGAGTTAGCACTGGTGTCCAGCCAAATAGTCAATGCAGTAACAAGTAGTTCAATGAGCACTTTCAGTGCGCCTCAGGCTTGCCAAACGGAGTATTTTTGCCATTATCTGATGAGGTGCAGTCAATAGCACTCCTTCTAGACACAAGACAAAGCGCTGTGACAGGTGACGCACCTTTACCTCTAAAGACTGCATGCCATCTTGACAAAATTGCTGTCCGTCATCAGCGAAACTGCTTTCGCACACCTCT